GCATATTCTTCCATCGTAATTATATGAGGCATAGCTGGCCAGCAAAATTTCGCGAGTTTCCTTAAAAGTCACCATTAATCGGTTTCTGTTAGTTCAGAAACAAACTAATTTCGCTACTCTTTTTATTCTATCCGTGGGTAGCCGCGTCCTTGAATCCCGCCATCTTAACTTATTTTTGCCGCCACGAACACGGCGTCCTCGACACAGACCCCACGCGGCTAGACGACGTCCGCCTTGTCGGATCTTAAAGTCCCTAATATTTTAAATCCAGAACAGTTTGGGTTCAGACCAAACGCTAGAGCCACGGATAGTTTACTTATTCTCCGCTAACTAATCCATTAATACACCAAACAACACCAAAAGCTTTATGTTAGTTTCACTGATTACGAAAAAGCGTTTGATAGTGTATGGCAATGCGGTACGACCCATAAATTACACAAATACGGGATTCAAGGAAAAGTCTGGAATGTCACAAAGTCCATGTATTCCTCAATTAAGAGTTGTGTTAAAATTGACCAGGACACACTTACAGACCCATTTTCACGTAACAAGGGGATAAGGCAAGGTGATGGTATTAGTCCAGTTTTATTTTCTTTATTTATGACTGATTTACCGCAATATTTCAAACAGAACAAATGCCCAGGCATGGTGTTAAGAAACTGCTCAATGTATGCAGATGATTTGCTAGTAATCAGCCCTTTTCCAGAAGGGTTGCAACAATCACTTGATGTAATTCATAAACATGCTCAAGATTGGAAGCTCAAAATTAACACCGAAAAGCCAAACATAATTATATTCAGTGATAACGGACAAAACAAGAACAGGGTAAGATTTAAATATGACACTGAAACTTTACAAATTGTTGAGAAACAAACATATTTAGGTATAGAAATGACGTCATGTGGTCGTTACAACTATGTAAGAGAAATTCTTAGCAAAAAAGCCGTCAAAGTTCTCTCGATAACAAATCGATCCTTCTCTAACAAGGATGATAAAGCAACAATTACGATTAAGAACGAACTCTTTAATGCCCTGGTTGAACCCGTGTTACTATATGCATGCGAAATTTGGGGACCGGAACTATTATCATACAAAACACCTTTTGATAAAAGTACAATTGAACAAGTTCATATAAAGTTTTGTTAACAGTCATTAAACGTTCCATGGTATACTGAAAATATTGCTTGCTAAGCAGAGTTTGGCCGGTACCCTTCAAGCATCGACATAAAAGCATCAATCTTCRGCTACTGGCAAAGATTGAAGCATTCCACTAACAACGTTTTGTTACGAGAAGCATTTCAATATGCAACAAAACATACAACTTTCTTTGACATTCAACAGAATGAAGAAATCAATAAAAGGTGTAAAATAAAAGAACCAGCAACTCAGCAACACCTCAAGAATGCACGATTAGTTATAAAGAAAACACTCAACAATCAATATTTACAGAACTGGCTTGAAACCAAACTAGGTCATCAACAAGTTCAAGAGAGAAATTTACACAAAAGGAAGTTACAAATAATTATCAATTTGAAAACTACTTGACATTAATTACAAAGCCAGCACACAGAATTAGCCTAACAAGGCTTAGATTAGGATATCATGCATTACGAATACAAACTGGCAAATATGAAAATAGGAGCATTAATCCCAGTAGAAGAGCGAACATGTTTAGTATGCAAAGAAAATTGCATAGAACATGAACAG